CTGGGCACCTGCCCAGAAACCCGCCCCCAGGGAAGCACTACCCAATCTGTTTGAGGGTTTCTGAAAACATCAGTACCTGAGGGGTCGTCGTCGTGGCCGGGCTTCGCGTCTCCGTGGGCTGGAATGGAAGTGAGCGGGAGGGCCGGGGTCAGCTCCTGGGCGCGTCTGGGCTCCTGCCCAGAAACCCGCCCCCCAGGAAGCCCTACCCAATCTGTTTGAGGGTTTCTGAAAACATCAATACCTGAGGGGTCGGTGTTGTGGCTTGGGCTTCGCGTCTCTGAGTGCTGCACCGGAAGTGAACGTCAGGGCCGGGGTCAACTCCCGGCCTCGTCTATGCGCATGCGCACTTGCAGCACACCTCAGATTCCAGACGCTTCCTGCTTCTCTGGCCTCACGGGTGCGAGGCTCACTCGCTGCACTTCCGGGTCTGCTGCCAGCACTTGCACTTGACCACTTGCCATTTCGCCTTGAAAGCATACATGCAAAAGCACAAGCCACCAACGACGGTACAGACATATCTTTCGTACATCTTTCATAGAGATCAGTTTCCACAGGAATGACACTGTCGGGAAATCATGGGAAGTTGTCACTGGTCTTGGTGGAAACTTCAACAATTGTTGGCATTTTTGGAATCTCTTGCCATCAATGGCAGCGCTGCTGCCGGTATCCGTCAGCCACTGGGCTGCGGAATGAGCCCGAAGTGGCAATGCTTCCATGCCCGGAGAACCCACAGGTTGTGGCAAGCGTCAGGATTCTTCGTGTCGTCGTCCAGTGAGTTCCCGCCTGGGGGTGTTCATGTAGATGCACCAGTACATGACGTTCATTTACATAATTACTCACCTTTTATTTCTCCATGTGTTGAGTTAGGGCACTTACAGATTAAAAAATTATGTGGTGGGTCATTACATTGTCTATGGATTGCAGTTCAGGATGGTAGAGAGACATGAAACCATTCATTTCTACAAGGTGATTTGCACCTGATAAGGATGAGAACAATTGTTCCAGGTGATGGCAATACATTTTCAATGATGAGACTAAACTGTAGACCTTAGCTGAGATCCTAATGATGGATTTGCAGTGTTATCGTTCAGTCTTAGGTAACCTATGGGACATTGTTTTCCATTAACTTTGTTGCCTTGAAATCTCCCTGTTTGTTTGTTTGTGTTTGTTTTATTGGACAAGATCAATAATGCTTTTTTGGGGAGAACTACTCCATAGCCTGTTTTTCTGATCCATGAGTGTGATCTAAATTCTGCCCCTCCCCCAGCTGATATCCCAGGGTGCATCTCACTTATTAGAGAGGTACATCTGCCCGCCCTGCCATGGGATGGACTTGATCTTCAGCTGGTGAATTGCCCGTGTCTTCACTTGGGTTTCCCCAAAAGCATTCCCGGAGGAGAGGATTTGAGTGGGAGTAGTTTCTTTGGGTGCTAATCCTTAGAAGCATTGGTGACAGAAAGGGGAGCTGAGTCAGGGATGGGGAAACAATGGAAGACGTATTCCTGAGCACAAGCAGCTCCGGAAAACTGGTCCATGCTGAGGACCTTGGAAGACAGTACAGAAGAAGCCTCAGATTGTTCTGCCCTAGAGGCAAGGAAGCTGGGGTATTTATTCATCCACTTCTTTCTCATTGACTTAGGACAGTGCTGGGAACGTTATTTCCTGATACTTCTGGTTGCCACATACAGGGGCCACCCATGCTGATGTGGCTTGAGGATGTCCTCAGAAAGAGTCACAGGTGCTTGCAGTAAGACTGTCTGTGTGTACAGAATGGCTAGTGCCAAGGGGAGAGGGATATGGCACCAGCAGCGTTTGCTGCATTTAGGACTGAAGATAAGTGGGAAAAATTGGCCATTCTTTTTTTTTTTTGAGACGGAGTCTTGCTCTGTCACCCAGGCTGGAGAGCAGTGGCGCGATCTGGGCTCACTGCAATCTCTTCCTCTGGGGTTCAAGCAATTCTTCTGCCTCAGCCTCCCTTGTAGCTGGGACTACAGGTGTGCACCACCACAGCTGGGTAATTTTTGTATTTTTAGTATAGACAGTGTTTGCCATGTTGGCCAGGCTGGTCTGGACTTCTGACCTCAAAGTGATCCACCCGCATTGGCCTCCCAAAGTGCTGGGATTACAGGCGTGAGCCACCTTGCCCTGCCCCATTCATTCTTAATTTTGTAGATAATGTGCTATGTCATATATCTGGGCATATGGAGAAGTGAATTTGTATTCCATCCAAGTGAAATGGGCAATTTCATGTGAGGTTTTTTTTTTTTTTTTTTCCAGGTATTAAAGCCAACAAGGCCAAAAATGGAGGATGTGACCCACTCTTGACTCCCCAAGAGGGAGAACCCCAAGGCTGCCTGGGCCACAGGTACACTGGAAGAGGCTGTGAACCTGTGTGTGTGTTACGACATGCATTACTAGGCCTGACAGTGCTTATAATGGCTCAGCCATCCCCTTCACTTGAGCTGCCTAATTGCCAGGCCTTTCCACAAGATTGATTTTTTTTTTTTTTTAATTCCTCTGAGTGCACACTATCCTTCAAACCTTCCAAGCATGCTAATGAGCACACTGGTTGATTATAAGAACTTCAACTGCAGCCCTCCCCTGTAGCAGCACAGCAGAGAATAGCACAAGCTGAGAAAAACTCATGGCCATGCTAAGATTTTCTAGAGGAATAAGAAAATTCAATTAATTGTGAGATAATTGTCCTAATTTACAATTAGCGAACTACTTTGTTCTATACCCATTGAGGTCTAGATCTTTGCCACCTCCTCCCTGCTGCCGTTAATTAGAGGGACCAGCAGAGAATTTGAAAATACAGGGCCCAAAGACTGCAGAAGCTGAAGATACTCTTGCCTCCTGGTTAACCCTCCATCACTTGCTCTGACACTTTGTATTTCTCCTGTGATCAGGCCCCAGCTATAGTAAAGCAAACCTTAGGTAACATTGTAGCTCTGAGATTGAGTGAAGATCACTTTCCATAGCCTGTTACATCATTCAGTGCTTCCATATCTGCTAAGAGTTGTTTATTGGATTTAAGAGCGTCTCACAACCCATAAGTGCTGCACAGCATATTAATCTTCCTCCTTCCTCTTTTTCCCTCTTTTTCTTTTCTCAAACTCTATCCCCCTTCCCTTTCTTCCACTTGCCCATCCTTTAACCGTTTTACTGAAAAGTAAATGAAATTGGATTTTGTTCTGTTAAGACTTTCATTCTGCTCTCTAAGTAGCCAGACCCTAAGACCGGGTTTCTCCCTCACTGTATTATTCCCATTTGTCATGGGGGCTGTCCTGTGCATTATAGGATTTTTAATAGCATCCATGGCCTCTACCCACTATATGCCAGTAGCAGCCCCCTCCCATTTATGACAATAAAAAATGTCTCCATACATTGTCGAATGTTCTCTGGGGGACAAAATCATCCCTGGTTAAGAACCACCACCCTGTGGTATCACAAAACCAAGTCTGGAGAAATAAAGCAGCAATCTCTAAACCACAAAACACTTTACACCTCAAGTTCTAGGATAGTTCAAATGATAGATGTGATTTTTAAAATGTTATTTTTGTTTTTACTGCAAAGGCTGTTATGGTTGGCCCTGAATTACTTTGCTAATGCTCTAAATCTGCCATTGGACCAGATTAATAAAGACAGCCCGTGGCCAGTGGGATAGATGCAAACAAAAGCATCATTAAATCTTTAGAAGTTATCTTTAAAAAGATAAACTAGCAAAGATATTTTTTGTTCGTCTGCCTAGTAAATGTCAATAACCGGTTCCAAATTTTCTAGATTTACTCAACAGTTAAGAACCTTTGCTCATTTCAATAATTTATCTTTGGTCTTCGTTTAGTATTTGTTCTTTCAGGGTGTGTTATCTGCCCTTTATTTTCTTAATATCACAGCATCCCTGGACTTGGTCTTTAGACAATTTTTCTCTATTTACACTCAGTCATTTGATGACCTGATCTGGTCTTATGGCTTTTGATACCATCTACACCCTAATGGTTTCCAAATGTATAGCTCCAGCCTGGACCTCTCCCCTGAACTACAGACTCATAACCTCAAGCTTCCTATTCAAAATCCCCCCCTGACTGGTGAATGGGAATTTTCAATTTAACATGTCCAAACTGAGTTCCTTATCTCCTACCCAAACTTGCTCCTTTGGCAGAATATCAGCAGGGTTCAATCGGGAATTGGAATCACTATAAATAATATGGAATTACATTTGCTTATAGTGACCAGATCCCACAAATCATGGGAGACCCTAGGGAAGTAAATGTGTAGAAGAGGACAATTGGAGGGTCGGAGAAAAGTCATTAACCAGGGATCACAAAGGGAAGCTGATGAAGAAGTCTATGGAGGGCTGTTGCCTCTGCATCTGGGCGTGAAACTGATACCACTGGGGGTCAGTAGAGCAGGCAGTGAGGAAGAAAAGCTGGACATGAAGCACAAGAACAAGGACCATCTGGAACACACAAGGGCTAACTGGAACCAGCAAGGACAAACCTGAGTCTGGCTCTCATTGCTTCTAACCTTGATGATT